TTACAAACATCATATCTGCAGCAAAAAGAAAAAAAGAAAGAAATCAGTTATGCAATAAAAAAAAATTCTAGATCTGCAACAAAATAAACAAAATTCAGATCTGCAACAAAATAAAAAAAAAAATCATATCTGCAACAAAAAAAAATCAGATCTGCTACAAATTCTACAAAATTTATACCACAATAAGCGCATATTTACAAGAATAAACTCAGATCTACAACAAGAAGCTCAAATATGTAATAATAAACCCAAATTTACAATATGAACAAAAAAAAAAACAACAAAAGAAACACAAAACCTCATATTTGCTTACCATCACCATAATTGAGATAGAGAGGATGGAGGATAGAGATGGGTAGAGGAGAGAGAGGAAGGAGAAGAGATTCATGGCCAGAGAGAAGGCAGAGGAGAGAGAGGCGTTTTTTAGAGGGAGAAAAAACTCTATTTTTAACCCAATTAGGTTAATCTCCTTATATATGTAGGAAATGTTTCGGGTAAATAGACTTCTTAAGAAGTCTACTGGAGAAGTGTACTCGAAAAGTCTACTTCAGTATATTTTTTCGATTTCGATTCCCGCCCAATTTGTTCCGATTCCCGCCCAATTTATTAAATAATTTTGATTCTCCGCTATGTTTTTTTAAGCCTACTGGAGAAGTCTACCCGAGAAGTCTATTGCATACGTTTGTTTACCCTAAACCTTAAATCAAATATTTTTGATATTATACTTGTATCAAAATATTAATTTTCTTACCATTTTCACATTTTGAAGTTCAAATAACAATGATATGGACTCTAAATCATTAACCAAACCATAAACTTTACATCTCAAACCCTAACTCTTTTGAACTTCAAACCCTAACCCTTTTCAATCTTATACTTATGAAACTTCTAAATTGGTTTCATTTCATGAAATTTTATTTCATATAGATGTCAATTGTCTATGCTTTGGTTATGTTTATAATTTTTGTATCATAATATTTTTTATAATTTTAGTAAAAAAAATTAAAATTTAATTATGTAGTAGACTTCTATAGTAGATTTCTAAAGAGTTGTATGTTTTCTAGTTATTTTTTTCCTGCATGTAAATTGATTCATTTGTATGAAATTTTGTATTATATACATGTCAAATATATATGTCTTACTTATGTTTACCAATTTTTTTAGAAATTTATTTATTTTACAATTAATTTGTTTTAAAAAACTAATTATGTAGTAGACTTCATGAATAGTCTACAAAAATTGACTTCTTACGTAGACTTCCCGAATGATAGAATCGTAACTGTGGCAGACGTTTTTTGTTTAGTCACAAAGGATTGAGCTGTAATTTAACTATCCATTTAGGTTAGTTTTACCAAACATTCAATAAGAGGTCTACATATTGAGAAAAAATCAACTTTTAGGTTATAAAGAGCAATTCTCCCAAAAGGGTTTTGGGTATAGTTTGTAATCGATTGAGTTTAGTTTCAAATAATTTGAGTGTATATATACATAGTAAATTTGGTTTAAGATTAGAGGTTTGAGTATAGTAAATAGTGGCTTGGGTTTAGTTTTCAAATATGTGAATTTATTCTATATATTTTAATAAATTTAGTTTATATTCGGAGATTTAGGTATAATAAATAGTGGTTTGAGTTTAATTTTAAAATATCTGAAGTTTTTTTTCGCATAACAAATTTATACTATTTGACAAGAGACATTAGTATTGAACGGAAGACAAAATAGTAAAGACATTAGACTAACTTGTTAATCATGTTGTTTATGAGTGACACTATTCATATAATTACGAAATTTTAATCTGTTTTTCAAAATTAAAAATATAGTAGAAGTAGAAAAAAAACTATGTTTTTTTATAGTAATTAGACATTTCATTAGTTATTAATACAACTTTAATAAAGTAAACAAATTAAGTGGGATAAATATATTATATTATAAACATAAGGATAAAATACTATAAGACAAAATAGTGTGTAGACTTGAACAGCGGTATTTCGTCCAAAAAAAAGCATGGCTGGTTTCTTTGTTTCTAAGTTCATATGAGTATAATCTTATTAACGGGGTGTAATATGGTTATTCACCAAATTCCCTTCTTTAAAACCCCAAAAATAAAAAAAAAAACTGATGGTGTATTATTTTCCTTCTTTATCAACTTATGTTTTTAGAATTATATCTTGCACATCGACCCAAGAAAAAAAACTACACATTCACATAACTCACAAAGTAATATCTAGACAGCATAATACCTAAAAAATAAATACAAAATAATTTTAAATCCTTAAATTATATTGTTTCTGCTTTTTTATTTTTATATTGTTAATTCTACTTTATATACAATTTTAAATGATCTAAACGTAGATTTATATTACAGATTTATATTGAAGTTAAAATCTTACATTATTAAATGCTACCAATTTTTTGGTGAGAAGATATATTATAAATTATAATATTTATACTGTTAGAGAAGCAAATTCATCTACTTATTATCTGGATAACTTTTTATGAAGATATCTTAATATATTTATTATTTATTATTTAATGATTTATAAGGTTATTTTGCTGTATAACCATAATAACAAAAAAAAAATACAAGAATATAGCTATACTATTTGAATAATTTGTAAACTAACTATACCCCACAATCAATTGTCGAATATAACCTTATACTATATTATATTTTGTACTATACTACATATTAATTTTATAGAATAGTAATCGTTTGATATAGTATTAATAAAAAAAATTGGTTGTAAAGAGAAAAAGAGAAAGAAGAAGACGGAAGAGAAGAAGAGATGAAGGGAGGGGAGGAGAGGGGAAGAGGAAAAGGAAGACAATGAAAAAAATGGGACAATGACAAGAAGAGAGGGGAAGATAATAAAAGAGAAAATATATTTTTGTATATATTATAAAATATACAGAGAATATCATAGTATCTATTTATTATGGTTATTTGATGAATTTAGGTTGTTTATATAGTCATACGACCTAATTTCTCTTATAAGTACATATAAAATAAAACAAAAATATAATATTTCTATATTTCACATGCATATGTTATGTGTATATATATAGAGAGAGAGAGGTATTCACTCACATATATTGTCAAAATAAACTAGCAGCAATGGAAATGGGAGAACAGAAGAGAAAAAATATCCATAGAATAACAGAATTTTTATACTACAACACGATTCCTCTTGATGTAACGAGATACTGTTGAGATTGCCTGCTAAATCTTTGGTAAGGTTGCGTATCGAAGCTATGGTCATCCATCACAATTAACCCAGCCTTATTTCATCAAATCATTCGCTATTCATTCTTCAGCTCGGCCTAGTTTTCTCAACATAAGAATACCGATGACAAGTGTTAATGTCATGATGATGTGAGCAATAAGGATATAAATCTCCCCCAAAACGATGGATACATGTCAAATTTTGAGTCTGTACATGGCTTAATATATTTCCATCATTGTTTAGACCATATTGTAGCTGGAATCCTTCCATAAGGCAACATGTAACCCTACCAAAACCCGAAAACTCGATACATGGAGCAAGCTATCTAGGATACGATCCTATTTGGAGATACATATAAATTATTGTGCATGCCACATATAAAAGATTATGGCATACACAGACCCGACTATGGGCCTCATGTTTCAACGTTGGGAGTTGAAGAATCATGGAGAGTAACTAAAGAGAGCCCTATGTATGGCTTGTCAACTAGTTGGAAATTCATCAATGGAGTTATATATTATGAAGTGTGTGTACCAAATGGAGGTAGTAACAAAGTTGGAACATCTCATATGAAAAGAATCATAATGAGTTTCAATGTGAGGCTAGAAATGTTTAAATCAATTTAATTACCATGCTGTGTGGATAATAAACAGACGGGGAAACATTATCTGGTGAGTTACGAGGGAAGATTAGCCTTGGTTTGCTCATCGAATACAAAGTTATGGATTCTTGACATGCTGATAAATGGCTATGCAATGACTTGCATTTACCTTCTCCTCAAATGGATTCAATTGGGGACATTAACTATCTTGAAAGTGATGTTTCTGTTATTGATGAGTTTATATATGTAGCGGAGTCATGGAATGATTATAAAGAGATTCATATTCTTTATTATGATCTAAAGAAAACTAGCATCATCAGAAAAATCAAATTTGAGGAATTAGATATGAGGAACTTAAGATCCATATTGGACTTGGCGGAGGTTGGAACACTATTGGATGCTTACCAAATCACATTGGAATTGTATTCAGGGAATTTTGGAAGTTTACGTGATGTTCCCCGAATCACATTGAAAGTCTTGTATCTCTCAAAACATTACTTGCTCGAAATTGGCTTCACTTTCTTAGTTATGTCATGTGTGTTATAGCTTTTAGTGAGACTTCTTCTGTTATCCTTCTAATTAAATAAGTTTGTGTTTTGCATTATTGTTACCTGTCAATAAAACTACTCATTATATTAATTAATAATGTTGGTACCAATCGATTGTAAAAATCTTCTATTCTTGAGTATATTCTTTGGTAAAGACTTCAATAGACATCATAGTTTCGTATCTTGGTTCTTAACTCTAAACAAAAATCAAATACCAATCTCTGATACAAACTTTTAATTAGTCAGTTTAGATAGTTAAACTACATTTTGATATATTATCTAATATGCAAAAAGTTATTATATATTTAACATGATTGTATACGGATCCATTTTTGGTAATGGACTTTGTGTGTTGAGCACAATTGTATTAGAAAATTGATAATAACTTGTATGTTGTTCTTGCACCAAAAAGAAAAATTTGTTGACAAAAAAAAAGAAATTTTATGTTGTCCATATTATGCGGTTCAAAAGATGAAACTTAGCTGCAATGAGTTGCATAAACAAAAAGATTTACCTGTTGTACTAGTTCAACAACAAACTAGTGATTGCACCATGGCTTTATTACATACATAACTTATTATTCCAGTTTATTCAAATTGCACTTTCACCCTATTCTATCATTTTACCATGAGGGAGAAAGTAAGCAAATTCCATACGTAACTCAGGTTGGTCTCGGAAAAGGCCATCATACACCTGCATTTAAATGTAATCATCAAACTAAATATGAGAAAGATGGAAAACAAATGTTACACACACACACACATATATATATATATTACCTCATTGTAGACCTCAGAAACACTCTTCTTGTTTTGACTATGCATTTGCAAGATCTCCAAAAAAGATCCGTATGCACGATCGTCTTGTAACGTTTTCTACAGATAAACGATATTTAGGAGCAAAATAGCAAAAAAAAAGAAGAAGAACAAAAAATATAGAGTAGCTAGGACTAGAACACAAAATGGTGTTATTGTTTTTATCAAAGATTAGGTAGAATAATAAATAAGTAAAATCAAATTCTTATTCGAATTGTCCATCCCCGTTTTCTACCATGGAAGAGTGCACTTACCTCGACCTTGATTACAAAACGAATAGCTTCTGCATACACAGACCGTTTTACTGGAGTTTCGTCACTCTTGAATGTTATTTTGTACCCTTTCGGCAAGAATTTATTGAAAGCCAAAATCAGCTCTCGCTTGCCTTTGAAGAGCTTTTTAACCTTTGCTATGACAATACTACGACTAATCCTGCAATGAAAAATATCATCAAATTCTGCAGCTCTCCATAAATCATAAGAGTAATGATTATGTGGACTGAAAGGGAACAAACTTAAGACGATAACGTTAAGTCGTTAACACAGAGAGTGTACCTTTTGGCTTTGAAGTTCTTCATGACCACCAGAAATGTATCATATATTTCACGATTATCTTGAAATGTATCCCTCACAGTTAGGACGTATTTAATTGCATCTCTTATAGTAAGCCTCGTTCTAACCATGATTTGAAAATTGCCTAGAATTTCAGAAAAGAGAATAAATGTCAATGTAAATCAATCGCAAGACACAAAAAAAACTATATTTTTAAATAATCAAACTCAAAATCATCCCAAAACACTAACGAAAACAATCAAGCATTAGATCTAATAACCGAAGAATAATCATAGAAAAGATTGCAATGCATTTCGAAACTACCACCTCTAGACCTAAGTCATCTCAAAAGCAAAAGGTTCTCCTTACCTCACACAAAGGACGGGATAAGACTTAAGAATTCCCACAAAAATTAGAGAAGAGAAGTTGTGGTTTTACAATCTTACAAGCATGACACTTATATAGAGATGTTGATACATAAAAGTAAAATTTTAACGGTAAGATTTTCATATATTATTTTCCTTTTTTATATATTCTTATCTTCTTAACAAAAAAGTAACTTATATTTCGCACGTAGTTTTTTTGTCTTTTGTTTTTATATATACTGCTGTAAAAAAAACATGGCCATATCATAATTTTTAATTTAAATCGGTTCTTTTTGTCTCTAGTGGTGTTTTCCTCTAACAGTATCTATAAAACAACAAAAGATATTACACGAAAAATGTTATTCAATTTTTAGACAAATAATCAGGGAAAAATACGAACAAGGAAAAAGATTATGAAAATTTTAACTAAAAAGAATAAAAGTAAAACTACAAAATGTTGATGTGTAACTACAAGAATGTTTTAAGGAAAATTTATCAATTTACTGAGAAAATAATATTAAATTGATTATAAAAAAAGACTTCAAAGGAAAACAAAAATGAAAATAAGAAAACAAAAGAAAAAAGAAACCTAATTTGGAATAAGAAAATTTAAGGCCTTACCCAGTTTTCATGATATATATCCAGCACCTTGATTAGTTGGTTGTTTCTGTAGATACTGTGCACAAAAATATGTATGTTTAAAGTTCTAAATCATACCAATAATACTTTATAAACTTTGTTTTTTTTTATTTGCTCAGCCAAAATATTTCTTTTTTTTAATTTTCTAGCTGTACAAAGTATTTTTTTTTAAAACACATAAATTTATGATTTCTAAATTTTACAATTTTACAGCTAAAATTTCAAAAAAATAAAATCTACAGCTACAAAAAAAAAACATACAGCCATATTTCTACAACAAAAACATAAAGCTATAGTAGTTGTTACCAATCAAGCTTTCTAAAAATATAAATATGAGTAGATTTATTAGTGTATTTGTATAGCTTCCAATTTTGCAAAAATGAGCATATAAAAAACAAACAAATCAAGATGGTCAGGGAAAAGGATAGCTACCTGCAAGATAATACATATCAAACTAAGACAAGAAGGAGAACAAAAGCAATGAAAAAAATTATACCGCAAGTGGTTAAGAACACACCTTTTGGTAGACATCAGCAATGGACATTTTGTTCTTTCTATACATTTTCAAGGTGTTTAAAAATGAATTGTATGGTCGATCATCGTCCATAAACCTTGCATGCTGGAAACGAAAAAAGGTTCCGTCATATGCAAGTAGCAAAGAGAAATAGGATAATATTAATCGAAATATCTACATTGACCTTGTTGACAATAATAATAGCTTCCTCCAACTTCGTAACAGAATTCTTTAGATGTTTCTTTAATTAGCAAGTTTCTATTGAAACCCGAAAACACTTTTTTTTGCCCTTTGAAGAGTTCTTTCGCTTTTAATATGACACTACTCGTATCAATTCTACCAGGTAAATATATACCATCCTATTCTTCAGTTCGACATACATAGAGAGTCGAAAATTGAACTAATTATGGTGCAAAAACAAGCATTAACATTGGCAAAAAGCTTTTAAGTCCTCAAAGACTTGAAGTAACTCATCATATATTTCAAAGTCTTCGTGAAGAAGCCCGATATTAAATTTATGACAAGTCCAAAAACCCATATAAAACTAGGGTTCTTAGCAAATAGAGATAGATTCATATAAATATGTGTTAAGAACATCAATATAAGGTAACTGTAGGAGTTGCCACTTTGTGCAACTCCCTTCCTCACCCATTTATGAATATCAATCAATCTTTTCTAAGCTCTTGGTGACGACATAAATTTTCTCTCTTTCCTTTCCTTTTGCATTTGAATAAAGCTCTACGAGCTATCTATTTTAAACCTCCTTGCTTTGCAAATGCTAACATTCTATTGCACCACTTTCCGCTAGCTTTTGGTGCAACCATGTTTTGAAATTGCCTAGAGGCTGCATTATTACTAAGGGGAAGAGAAATTAGTTTTAGCAGCAACAACAGATCACTGTGTTGTGATTAAAAAAAAAACCAAACCTTGTATAAACAGTTTGGTTTTTTTAGTTTATATATTGGAAAAAAAATCATTTAAAGCCTAAACTTTTAAATTTCAGCTATTTGAGATTTATCTTCTCCCTCTTAATTCTCGACTCTGAAATTATTTTGTCACAAAATCTCCTTTGCCCAAGAAAACTCTCTCTCTCTCTCTCTCTCTCTCTCTCTCTCTCTCTCTCTCTCTCTCTCTCTCTCTCTCTCTCTCTCTACTGAAATCGAGTTTCTTCTCTTTCAAATCAAAATTTCCATTTGCTCTTCTCGCTTTATCTTTCTGTAAAGTCATGCCAAAAGCAAAACAGAAAAAGGGGAAAAGTTCAAAAAATTGAACTGAAGAAGTTGAACCTGAAGTTGAGGCTGACGTCGGAGGCAATGATATCAGTGGAGAGGATGTGGGTGATGATAATTTTGATAAGCTTGATGATGCAGATCGTATTGAGGTAGTAGAAGAAGGTTGCCAAGACTAAGTAGAACATTTTGGAGAAGCAGCAAGAGATGAGGAAGTTGGCAGTGATGCAGACATTGGAGATAATATTTGGGATGATGAGAGGATTCCCGATCCTTTGTCATCCGATTCCAAGTACATCGAGGATGATGAGGACAACAAAGTCGAAAGGCATAGAGAGCTTGAAGATCCTGATGAACTGGTAGCATTTGGGAAAACCTACAATTCTCTTGAGGATTTCAAGGCTGTCCTATGGTGTTCTAACTAGATACAACATCAAACTTTACAAGTCACAAGCTATGAAGATTGGTGCAAAGTGTGCTGACACTAAGAACTTGTGTCCGTGGAAAGTGTATTGTTCTTGTGAGAGGAGGAGACATAAGATGCAGATTAAGGTGTATGTAAACAAGCATATATGTATCCGTTCAGGTTACTCCAAGATGTTGAAGCAGTCTACAATTGACTGGTTATTTTCAGAAAGGTTAAGAGTGAATCCAAGGATTACAAAACAAGAGATGGCTGCTGATATCTTGAGAGAGTACAACTTAGTTGTAATCAATGGTCAATTTGGAAAGGCGAAGACAAAAATTTGAAAGAAAAGAAAGCCAGTCATGAAGCTCATTTTTCACAGGTTTGGGATTATCAGGCGGAAAATTTTGAGTCCCCCACACCAAATTTGAGATTGAGAATATTCCAGGGCCTACTGTAGGGAAACAAATATTTTATAGGTGTTGTGTTTGTTTTAATTCATAAAGAAAATCTTCGATCAAAACATGTAAACCAATCATAGGGATAGATGGTATATTTCTAAAATGGGATATCGAAGGTCATACTTTAGCTGCAGTTGGGAATGATGGAGATAATAGGATTGTCCCAATTGCTTGGGCAGTAGTCAAAGTAGAGAGTGCTACGAATTAGGAATGGTTTGTTAAACATCTTTGTGGAACTTTGAATCTTGGTGAAGGAAGACATGGTTCCATCATATCGGATAAACACTAGGTTCGAATCTAGTATAATGTATTTACTTGCAACAATTTTTATACTCAATTTTATATGCATATGTTGTTTCTTGTATTATGTTGCAGAGTATTATCAATGCCGTGAATAAAATCCTTCTTCAAGCTGAAGATAGACAGTGTGCTAGACACATAATAGAGAATAAGAAAAAAGACAGTCATGATAGAGAGCTACAAAGCATGTTCTGGAAAATAGCTTGTAGCTACACACAAGCAGAATATAGAGATGATTTAGCAAGGTACAATCCTCAAGCATTTGCCTCTCTTCAGCAGACTAACCCTCCATCATGGTGTTGGGCTTTCTTTAGTATATGTTCTTTTTGAAATGATATTCTGAACAACCTGAGTGAGACTTTCAATAGAACCATTCGTCAAGAAAGGAAAAAACCATTATTAGACTTCTTGGAAGATATTAGGCAACAATGTCTGGTGTGGAATGAGAAGTGGTCTATCATTGCTGGAAGATTTGAGGATAGAGTTCACAAAGAGAACTCTTGCTGAGATAGAAAAAATGATAGTAAGGCACCACATTGCATCAGAAATATGGCAAGGAATGATTTTCATGAGGTTGAGTATAATGGTGTTGGCTATTGTGTGGCTGCAAGAAGTGGCAAATGATTGGTATACCATGTGTTAATGCCGCACATGTGATCATAACAAAGAAAAGAAAGGTTGAAGATTTTGTCAATGGCTACTACACAACAATAATGTGGCGGAAAACCTATAAGGATGGCATTAGGCCTGTCCAAGGCATAAAGTTGTGGCCTAGATTAAACAGGTTACCTGTTTTGCCACCACCATGGAGAAAGGGTAACCCTGGAAGACCAAGCAATTATGCGAGGAAGAGAGGAATAAACAAAGCTGCTTCTTCAAGAAATAGCAAGTTATCACGTGCTCGCAGAGTCATGACATGCTCAAACAGCTTACAAGAAGGATATAACAAACAAGCTTGACAAAATTCGAGAGTTGAGCCTCCAGAAAAACAACCAAGGGGTCGACCAAGAAAACATCAATTTTGACTCTTTTTCACTGTGGAAACGGAATATTTGATTAGCCACTAATTCTAGAGATATTGGGTATGAATATCGAGTGTTAGGTACTTAATTACTTAAGAATATTATTATATCTTAAAGTAATAGTTTCAATGTTTGCATAACATCGTAGCAGTGATTTATGTTTTCACTTTCATTTCTTGCACTGAGTTGGTCAAGTATGATAAAATAAC